TTAAATACGCTTTTTAGGGGTAGAAAGGACCCCTCAACCCCTGGAGGTGGAAACGGTTATGGCTAATTATTTCTGAAGCGATACATTTTCTGAAAAAAGTGTTTAGGACCAAGATTGTAGAATTCAAAATGATGCACTTGATGGCGACCTTGAAGTCGACCTTGAGGTCGATTTTCAAGGTCATTTGAAAATCATTTCATGTTTTTCAAAGGGAGTAATTTACTTTTCATCCCGAGAATCGATAGAGCGTAAAATTTTACATTCAGAACGTTGGTGATTTGTAAATAAAACAAGCTTCTGCAATTTAAAATTGTTCATTGTTCCAACCAATTAAGGCAATATCAGTCAATAATTCGATCAATAAAGGAATTAAAAGTTAATTATTCATGAAAATAAGGCAAGATGTGATCGAGATCCAGCCAGTGAAGGCCAGATGTGATCGAGATCCAGCCAGTGAAGGCACAAGATGTGATCGAGATACAGCCAGTGAAGGCAAGATTTCATAATTTCTTTTCATAGTCTATGAGTATAAATTCCATGATAATTGGCATTATTCTTTATATTCATGGCAATAATGAGGATTAGCTTTATCTTTTATCGCAAAAAAATGCTCCATACACAGACCATGAAAAGAAATTATGAAATCTTGCCTTCACTGGCTGGATCTCGATCACATATCTTGCCTTATTTTCATGTATAATTAACTTTTAATTCCTTTATTGATCGAATTATTGACTGATATTGCCTTAATTGGTTGGATCAATGAACAATTTTAAATTGCAAAGGCTTGTTTTATTTACAAATCACCAACGTTCTGAATGTAAAATTTTACGCTCTATCGATTCTCGGGATGAAAAGTAAATTACTCCCTTTGAAAAACATGAAATGATTTTTAAATGACCTTGAAAATCGACCTCAAGGTCGACTTCAAGGTCACCATCAAGTGCATCACTTTGCTTTCTACAACTTTGGTCCTAAGCACTTTTTTCAGAAAATGTATCGTTTCAGAAATAATTAGCCATAACCGTTTCCACCTCCAGGGGTTGAGGGGTCCTTTCTACCCCTAAAAAGCGTATTTAGCCGAAACAAAAAAACACGTATTTAATATTTTTCGATGTTTAATAAGTATGTTAAGTTTCATTCAAATCGGTGAGTATCAGTTGGGTAGTGTTACTTGTAAGTGAATTCATATACCGTCTTTTTCTACCCTGTCCTGCGTGCCGGATTGAGGGAGGTCCCAGTTTCGAATCCTGGCTGAGGTAATATGTTTTACAATAAGAATTTTAATTCACTACAGGGAAGAGTTAACGTAATAATGCTAAGTATAGCATTAAAATTAGCCCAGTTTACATTGTGCACTTAATATGAATAACAAATAGTAACAACTAGTAAACTGCCCAAGGAGAACAAAAAAGTCAAAATGATGTCAAAATGATGTCAAAATATAATCAAATTTTAGTTCGTCAAAATGATGTCAAGTTGCATAAATTTTTGATGCTTTCTTGATGTCAAAATCGTGACATAATTTTGACATTAGTTTGACTATTCGTAATATGATACCCAGATAGAACATAAAACTCATAATGACGTCATTATGACTATCACAATTTTATTTATCACATAAAAGTTATCTGGACATATCTAGAAAACTTTTAAATGTTGAATAAAATCATGATAATGTTATATCTAATGGCGACTCACTGTATTAGCCTTTTTAGCCTCTTCGATATAATGCGTCGTTATCAATACGGTGGTGCCTTCCTCCTGTGTTAGTTTGATCAGATAAGCCCAAATGCTGTGAAAAAGAACGTCCAAACATTTTCTTAATATTTTGTGCTTATCACGTCTAAAAAGGAGCCAATTCTACTTGCTTTTCTCTCAAAATTGGGTCCAAACCTACGGTGGGTTCATCGAGAATTAGAAGTTCGGGCTTATGCATCAATGCGACGACAAAGGAAACCCTTCTTTGTTGACCTCCACTCATGTTCTTCACCAACTGATTTGCTGGAGGCAGTTCGAACAATTCCGAGAAAAACCTATGTCTCGTTTCTTGGAAACAACATGAAGAAACTGTCGTTTTAAATTGACATAATGAAATATCTTTCGAGCAAGACAAAATTAGAACCGCTTGAAAGACTTACTTAAAAGTAAAAGTAAAACTTGTCAGAATTTACATGATATTTTGCGCGCAACAACTACAAGTTTTCTTAACCCATGTACCTATTCGGTATCTTACCGATCTCCTTATCGTCAAGCCCATTGATCCTGCCGAAGTAATAAAGAGCATCGCTCGTAGAAAACAGTTCGACTAAAGATGTATCCTGCGGCATATAACCCACCCGAGGCCCTGGAATTCCGCAGCCCACACTGCCCGGAGATCCCCCCAAGACCCACATCTCTCCACTGTCGAGATAACGTAATCCGACGATACAGGACAACAGGGTTGTCTTGCCACATCCGCTGGCCCCCAACAGCGTGTATCTGTGTGATGAAAATATTTCGTTTACGAGATACTGCTTGGGCCTATGTAAATTTTATATATGTTACATTACACAAAAATTTTTAATAATTGGAATACTATTGCAACAGCAAAATCCGGAGACTAAATCAAGTAAAACAAGTCCTACTACTTTTCCCTCCGACAAAGAGTTATTGAGATATCATAAGCTAAATATTGAAAAAGTTATAAATTTTCTCTTGAATATCTCAAAAAGTATTAAGCAAATAAAAAATGTTTCAGACAAAAGTTCATATTAATTGGTAGAATAAGTTAGTATATTAAACCATAGGGATTTTATTTAAAAAATTGAAGATGACCTTCACGTAATCTTCAAGCATGTATTCAAGGTTAAATTCATAACACCATCTTATTTCCCCCTCGAAACCCAACAACTTTTGCTGAGGTCATTTTTTGTTAGCCGTCTTCCCCAAAAAGATATATGCGTGGATCATTTAAAATGTGACACCCTATAAACCATTCCCCAAAGAGGTTCCTATTTTACAAACGATGACAATTTAAGCAATTGATGAAGGTATGCGTGAAAGAGCGTGATGACAGACAGTTCAGGCAACTTCTATCAAAAGATGAAAAAAGTAGTATCAGTTATCCATAAATGACATGTTAGATATGTAGGTTCAGGTTTGTGGAACAATATTAAAATTTGCACAAGTAATCTGAAGTATAATATTATATTAATCAGTAGCAATTCAATCTTCACTGCATTGTTTCCTTTCTTATAGCGAGCATATGGGGTTCTTTTGATAAACTCATGATATTTACATGCAACCTTATTCGTCTAAACGGAAATTAATAGGAAGACGAATAATGTTTTGTGTTGACAAGACAAAGAATGGTTACATACACGGAACCGTTTGAAACCGTCATATTGAATCCGTCGAGCACCAACTCTTCTTTCCCATAACGCTTCACAGCGTTCTTTACAACCACCACGTTTTGCTGCAACATTCTGCGTCTGCGAATTGGTGATGTCAGTCCTATCAAACTGTAACAAATGTTTTTTTAGTGATTAGTTTTTTAAAAAGTAGTAAGAATAGAATTCACTAGTCATTTTTAATAGGAAAACATTTTTTGGAATATTATATTTTATTTTTTTAATTGTAATTTATGTTATTACACATTGACTATTTTATTGCTTTTCGACGCACTGTTGGTATTGGTTTAAACAATGCCTTGCCTAAGCCTTTATATATACTTTTTAAACGTCACCCTTAAGAAAAAGAACTGAGCAGCTGTACCAGTAACTGATGAAGTTGAATCAGTAACTTGTGACGTTCTATCAGTGACTGATTACGAGAGTCAGTTACTGGTAATGCTTTTCAGTTGACTTGCAGTTTTAATAATCAGTTTCTACAATACACTAAAAAACTGGTTAGACACTGAGTGTTGCCATCAGTAACTGATGACAGTTTTTTTTATCGGTTTGTCAGATACTGATTATACAGGGTGTCAGATTCGATATGGACGACCCCAAAGATTATAGTAGATTGGGTTAAACTGAGAAGAAAAGTTATATAAAATTTTAC